AATTTCGGAGTGGCTTCATATTACATGTTATAGGCAACTTACTTGAAACAAGTTTAAGCTCAAAGAAAACACACCACATGCTAATATGTAAAACAGCATTATCTCTAATGTTGATATAAAGTGCCTGTTTAATCTTCAAAAACAAAATTAATATTATTATGAATATTGCATGAATATTGTCATCGCAGATACAGACTTCATAGCTTGCCGGTGAATGTCGACGGCACAAATTATGCCTTCAATCATCAAAATCTTATTTTTCAGCGTAGTTTGTAGAATGTCGATATTTATTGCATTCTCGATACGATAACTGTAAACATTTAGATCGTAATTATATTACGTAGTAATTTATTAAATGACGCAATTTTTTAGTTAAAAAATTGTTATTTACTTATTGTTTATTTATTTTAATATGTTACTCAAAGATATAAACTTCTAATTACATTTCATATTATTAAGGTCATTTCTGTATGTATTCATACCTAGCGATTCTAAACATTCCACAGATATGATAAATATATGCAATTCCCATTGTACCAATTGCTGTTGCTACAATCGCTGCAATGCAAATAGCTGCGTTCATGTGGAGCAGAATCAAATAAAAATACTTTTCTCGATCGATGAAATACTCCATTGTAAATAGAAATTGATATGGTCGAGATTTATTCGTCGATAGATCAACATTAGTCATATTTAATGAAAATTGTACTACAACGCTAGCAAATAGGCAGTAAACTCCAAGTGCTAAAGAATGTTGAAAAAAATATATTATTTGCTTAATTTACTAATGCATGACATTTAAAAAATTATCTTATGTATACTAATAGTTAGTTCTCTTTTGGATTTTATTTATAAACGCTATTTTTACTAGTAAATTTAACTAATAGCTAGTTCCCTTTTGAATTTTATTTATAAACACATTTGCTATTTATCGCAAACACACGTACGTGATAAATGTTATAACAGAATCATATATACTTAGATATAATATAGACAGACACGCATGCACGCACATACGTAAGCACGCTTATACTCCCATGCACATTGTGCTCGCGCGTACGCACGTATGTGTGTGCGTGTATGTATGTGTATATATACGTCAACACTGAGTTATTATAATCTGTCAAAATTTATTTTTTTTTTCTTCATAGCTTACATATTATATTATAACTTTGATTATATCCAGAGCCAATAAAAGTTGTCTTACTTGTAAGTCCAACCGTATAATGTTTCGCAGTGCACACATATTTTTTCATGATAGCGATTTCATTTTTATTTGTTAGTTTGTTATGGATGTGCTGAAGCTGTATCAATAAATCTTTCACCTGTTATTCCAACAACTCTTGCATACATCAAAGCAAATATTTTAATATCTTAAAAATTAACTAATCAGGAAAAGCTATCTCGTTTAACGAATATTTCATAAGCGATTAACTTACACCTTCGATGTTAAAACAGAACGTGTTATATTCTATTATAGGAATAGTCATGTAAATCATGCAAGACAAAACATTCATTAAGACTTCAAAAGTACATCTTAATGTTAAAAATGCTGTCAACTGTTAGTAATCAATTTTATTAATTTTCTTTTTACATCTTGGATAAATAATAGTTACAATATAAGTAAAGATTAACAAAAAGAGGTCTTACAACCTTGGCTTTGACATATATTATAGAAGTCACTTTCCTGAGTAACCTTCATAAGGCTTTAGTCGTCGTTTGTTGTTTATTAAAAAATTGTTTATAAAAAAATTATTAACAAAAAAATGTAAGAAATATAATAGTTTGTGTCAGTGCTAAGGGAAGTAATTTGTTGATATATTGTTGAAGTATTGTTGATACATGTAAGCGTAGGAAGGGCTTCGATCCTCCTTCTGTAGCAGGGGTGGGGGCGGACGTCAGTTAGTGTGGAAAATTGAAAACTCAAACTGTACAATCCTGTCCAGAGAACCATCCACGCGAAACGAGATCCACCCCACCCTTGCTTACGGACGAAACGAGGTCTATCATTGTACGATTTGGATTTTCAACTTTCCACGTGAACCAAGGTCCACCCCCACCTTTCCGTGTTGAAGGGAGTGGATCGAAGCCCCACATGTGTACTGTTTATACACACATATCAGCAAATTACTTTCCTTAGTACTGACATAAACTGTTATACATATTTCTCAGTTATATTTTGTTATTAACTTCTTAATGAAAAACGAGCGACGACTAAAATCTTCTGAAGGTTACTCAAAAGGGTTACCTCTATAATAATATATTTCAAGATCAAGGTCGTAGGAACTGAGTCCCCTTTTGTCAACGTTCACCACAATATATTTGATACAAATATCATTGCATAACACAGAGTGAGATAAATATAGTAAAAAAAACTTGCCGTATAATAACTTATACATAATGATGTAATTATCATGATTTTCAATATTATGATATTTTCTTACCTGAAATATAATATACGTTGTGAATATAATAGAGATGAAAATGTGTTGAAATCTGGCAAAGTTGGATTGTTGGTAGGGCCATAAGCCGATAATGAGCAGTAGAATTCTATTTACGCTAAAATACTGATCTTCTTTAAGGATCATATCTTCGTGAGGTCCGGAACGTGAATAATTGTTAAGAAGTCCATAACGTACGTTTATCCCCTCTTTTCTCCATCAATCGACTAAACGTTCTCTCTTCTAGTGTAAATTGTAGTGCAAATATCATAAATTATATAATGGGCCAACAGATCGTTATATCATTAAATACAATTTAGAATCATTTCTTTGAACTATGGCTGAAATAAAGCTATCAACCTGACATCCGAGGAAATTCATTGTATTATTTATTTTCTATTAAAAAGAAAGGTTTCTATGAGAAATCGAAAGTCACGCAAGCGCATTCCCTCTTTTCCAATAACTCTACTTTATTCTCACGTACGCATTCGTAAGATACACTTGTGTAGCTCCTCTGCCAAAGGAACAATCGGGGTCTGTAATCCTATTGATGCCGGACCTACATGGTAAAGCTTATAATTTAAAATTGATCAGATTAGGTAAATACGCGACACTCTTCAAATAAAGTAAACTTCAAATTGATTAATTTATTTTTAGCAAATATTGATTATATCAGTTATTTATAATTATCGCTAATAATATTGTTTTTTTTTTGTATATATTTCGACGTAAATTTTTTAATTGACCTTACAATACGGTTGTGCAAATCCATTATGAGATCGGAACACACTTAATTTAACAAAATAACGAATTGTGCATGGGAAAAAATAATGGTAATGTAAAATTTTCAATTATACGTTGTGTATATGTATATGGATATACATATAGAGCCATAAACTCAACCATCATTACGATTTAGATGCGTTGGAAAAATCTGAAATGCTAATCTTGATTTGACTAATTTTAATTTTTTATTTTAACAGTATTTAATTACCCAATAGACTCAAAAAATAAATTGTTTTAAACATTTTTTATAATTTTTTTCAAACATTAATCGTAATTGTTTTAAACATAAATACCGTTGTTTTTTTATTAAATATATTTCCAACACGATATTAATAAATTCATGTTTGTTATGTTTTTTTATCGCCGTGTAAAATATGTGGCAGTACCTAAAATAAGATACTGGGAGAATTTCATTAGCTGTAAACATACTCTGTTATTGTAACATGCACTACTGAAATATTTTATATTCTCTTACCGTATAGCGATACACTCCATGAATGCGTGTGAAGTAGCTCAGTAGTCTACCGATATTTAATCAAAATACTACGATTCCTCTTTGCAGAAATAGTATCATTTTTTGTATAAGTATAAAGGAATTCTATACCACTGAACGTTGTACTTACGGCATTGAACATAGGGAATCGCTAACTTTAGATAAAAATTTTGTCATCAAATAACTTAGTACATATATATTGATTTGTTTTGCAACAAATCAGGTTTCACATCTATTATTGTTATTATATCCAGAATATTATTTGATTTCAAAAAGAATTATTTTTTTCCATAAAAAGAAGGAAAGCTTTTATGAGTAATCGAAAGTCACGCGTATTCGCCGTAGTCCCTCCTTTTTTATGTCTCTACATCATTCTCGCGTGCACACATTCGTAAGATGCTACGTTTGGTCTTTGAAAAAAGCATTCATCAACTTGACTATTTCAGCATCCGTCTTATTAAATAAAACTTGTGTCATTTTAAAAGATAGCAATTAGAGGACGTTCTTGTTATTATACTTTTATGTTACAAGTTAATAATTATGTGATTTATGTGTTAGCCGATATTATGTACGGACAAGTCAGCTATCAAATAATCATATTAATTATTCCTCGTTAGACATACGTTTAGTTTTTTATATTTTTTAAATTTTTTAGCATGTATGTTATTTAATAATAAAAATTAAAATTATCTTTAGTTATAGACTTATTATGAAAACAATGAATTATTTATTTCGAAGTACTGTTCAACTCATGCGTGTTGGTATAGATATCACGCACGGAAAGTAAAGACCAAACTTGAAAAAGACACATAAAATGATTATAATGTATTTTTATATATCAAGTATTATCATATGCAATGTTCAATGTCGATAAATTAAATATCTATGTTGGATCAAAGCATTTTATTTCTTTGCGTTTTTTTTAATACTAAAACTTTCTACATGTGTGAGATACTGCTTCTTAAAATTTATTTCTCCCTGTTTATATCTGATTTAGTCATACGTCATACCATAGATAACATGACAGTAAAGTAAGATACTGAAGCCTTTACCAACTGGAACCAAAGTCAACCTTTTTTATTCTATTTGTTTATAATATACTATATTTGAATACATATATTTAAACAATTAAAGGTATCTTATTGTATCTTATTACCGTAGCAAAGCATTGGATGGATGAAACCAATATTCCACCGACAATTATAGTAAAATCTTTGGCGCCTTTTAGCAACAAGAAGAGTATCATTCTTTGAATATGCAAGGGAGCTACATACCATTGAACGCTGTACCTACGAAATTATAGGGTCAGAATCATTGATTTGAAAGAAAGACGGGAAGATTTTTATGACTAATTTATGACTCATTTGATAGTCATAGTAATAGAACTACTTTACTTTTAATACAGACATCCACAAAGTAAACTATCGATATCTCGCAAAAAAAGTCTCTTACGCAGTAATGAATACGTGATTATTGTGATCTATGATATTTTGTCCACAAAAGTTGCATATAAACAAATAAAATATATTAATAAATACAAAAGTAATAGGGAAGAAAGCTTCCTCAATAGCTTCTTTCGAGGATACAACCTGAAAAATCTACAAAATACAAGATTGCAATTAATTATCTATCCTCATTTTACTATAGTTTTATTTCTTTAACAAGAATTAGAATTATCGTTTGTTCAAAAATAGATTTGAAAATAAAATCCAAAACTTACCCGAAGAAAATTGAAACATAAGGAAATGATAAAGATCACCGTTAAACTCAAGAACATTGTTTCAAATCTAGTTACTAAATATTTGGATAATCTTTAAAAACATAAAAATATTAGTGCATATATATTATGTGCATATATCTATGTATGAATGCGTATATCTAACCTCATTGCTTCCCGATGAATATCTACAGCGCACATTAAGCTTCCGGATTTGGAAATTCTATTTTTTAGGCTAATATCTTGTGAAATATTGATCTTCACTGCACGTTCGATACGATAACTGTAAATAATTATACAATTTTTTAATAGGACATTTTTTTGAAAGGTAAACTTTATCTATACCTTCGTCGAATAGCAATAGTTCTATTCATAACTCGAATGTTTGTGGCCATTTTAATTCATTTCATACCTAGAAATTTTGAACATTCCAAAAATAAGCTGAAGATATCCAAGAAGCATTGTTCCTGTTGCTATTGTTGCAGCCGATCCTATGCAAAATGCTACGTTTGTATGTAATAGGATTAAAAAAAAATATTTTTCTTGATCGACAAAATATTCTGTTACGAATTGCATTCGACGTGGTTGAGATATATTTACTGATAAAGCAACGTCAAACATATTCACCAAACATTGAACGATAATAGTAAAAGATATTCCGCAAACCGCAGCTGCTAAAAAGCGTAATTGTTATTTAAATTTTTGCTATTTGGTTTTTCAAAATTGTTTTATGTGTGTCATGTATCATAAACATGTATTTTAAAATATAACATATCTTTTACCATGACTATAATCAATTTCTACGGCACAATTGGTAGCTATGTATTTAATAGCTATTTACACATTTTATTTGTCTTATAGACATTTACTACTAATTGCTTTAAATACGTATAATAAATACTTTTTACAAACTTTTTAAACTACACATATGTATAATATAAATATGCAAAAAAGTTATGATAACAAGCATAACTTTGTAATATTAAAACTTATTTTCTTCCACTAATATTTTAACAATGTAGGTGTATAGAAAACGTAATCGCATAAAAAAATATTGCTTTACCCGTAAGTACAGCTGTGTAACGTTTCGCATTGTAGCCATATTTTTTTATGATCGCAATTTCTCTTTCATCCTTTAATTCGTCATATATATGTTGAAGTTCCATCAATAACTTTTTTACCTATTATTCCAGCAACATATTCTTATATTGTCTTTGTATACATCAAAATATATTTCGCATATAAATATTTATTTGGTTGTAAAGCTTTATTTTACGGCTATGCCATATATTCGCAACTTACGGTTTTGATGTTAATACAGAACGAATTGTAGTGTATCAAGTAAACAGTAAAGAAAGATGCGGAAGACACAACCTTGGCAACGAGATCAAGAGTACATCTTAAAGTTATAAGTGACGTTAGCTGCACACAATGAATAATTTTACTTAATTTTATTTATAAATATAACTCTAAGTATGTACTCTAAGCAATTACAATCTATTTAATATAAAAAGTTGGACTGAACAGTACACTGTTAAAAACAGAGGTCCTGTGTGTTAAAAAAAGTCCTTGTTAAAATTTTTGTGTAAAATAATCAACACATACGTGTGTAGATTTAACATATGCCTGCTATGTTAATTGAATTTTACAAATTCAAAATGTAAAATAATTAAAATATATGTTAACTTAAAAAATATGTTAAAGTAACACAATTTTAACGTATTTATTAAATGTGTTAAAATTTACAGAAAAAGAATGTTGATTTTACTCTATAAAAGAAGTAGGAATAAAAATTTACATCAGAAATAGAGTGTTGATTTTATCTTACAATCTCAACTTCAACATAAAAGTTATGTTAATTGTACACATAATTAACTTCAAATTACGATCAGAATTACATTTTCTTTCTGTTGAAATATTTTAACATAATATCAGTGTTACCACTTAACACATCCATATTATGTTAAATTAACACAAAAATTTGAGTGGACCGTTTTGGACATGTGATTTATGTTATATTTGACACAAATTTTCCAACAGTATATAGATTGAAATCAATTGCGCTGCAAATCTTCTCTTCTTATACATTTCTTGTTTTAAATCACGTCATTTTAACACGATTGAGTGTATTAACTTTTAATTTAATACGATTAAACATGTTAAATAACGTAATTTAACACATAAAAAAACATGGAAGAAAAGATTCAATCAAATGTTATTTCTAGACGTGTTATTTTTATGCGTGTAAAAATAACACACTTGGATTTGTAATGCGTTGAGATCAATTGATATTATGAGTACAATGAGTACAATATATTGTTCTCTTACCTGAAATATAATACTCGTTGTCAGAATACTGGAGAGGAAAATGAACTGAAATCGAGTGAGTTTGGATTGTTGATGAGGCCACAAACCGATAGCTAGCAATAGGATTTTATTGAGACCGAAATACTGAACTTCCAGACGGATCATCTCCCTATGCGCTCCAAAACATTACTGCGAAGACGTCGACGACCGACGGTGTGCTCATCCCCTCCTTTTTTCACTAATCGGTTAAATTATTCCATATCGTTTTTCTTTTACGTAAATTTCAACGTAAATTCCGTAATTGACTGTAATGCACAGTTGAGCAAGTCCACCGTGAGATCGGAACACGTTCGATTCAGCAAAATTCTGAGTAAGATGCATACCATTCTTTATAACATAATGTATGTGATCGATTTGTTATTTAAAGTAATTCGACGCATGTGTCTTTCCCATGAAAAACTGGACTATATCTAGAAAAGCTACGCAGGCGCATTTCCTCCTTTTCAGTTTTAAAACTTCATTCAAGTACGAACATTCGTGAAACACACTTCGTCTTCGAAAGAAATATCTTTTAACCCGTTTATCTCTTAACTTTTAAATGGCTCTAACCCTTTTGATGCCGACCTTATCTGGTAAAGCTCATAATTCAAAAGTAATTTAAATATTGATGTGCTATATCTAGTGCGCCTAAATAATATTATTTACTATAATATTATTATATAATATTGGCTATACTCTTATCTTTTTTTATTTCTTATGTCATTGACTACCGGAAGATTTAAATTTAAATCTTTTAATTATTATATTATTTATATATAGAAGAAAAATCCAACGTGTCGATAGCAAATTACAGATTAAAAAATCTTTAAAGCAATGTAAAAAAGAAATTGAAACTATGTGATTATATATATTTGAAGTATAGAGTATGCGCAGTACTTAATACTCATTTGAATACATCAACGTACTATATCTGACGTACTAATATCTTTATTTAAATATCTTTATATATTACGACTATCTCATAATAACAAAATTTCTAGCTAAACTATACGTTCAAAAAATTAATCTCTTCATTCTTTAAATATGAATATCGTCGTTTTTTGACTAATAAATGTATCCTTATCAATAAATACAACTGTATCTTTATTAAGAACACAAAAGTTGTTCAAGCATATTTAGGACTTAAACATTACGCTTTTACATTATTAACGCTTTTACATTACGTTTTATTTCTGTTCGCGCACTCAAAAGTATCATATATATGTAATAAGATCAAAAGTTTATCTGTAAGAAAAATGTCTGTCTCCTCATCCTTAGAAACCATTAAACGTTTCAAGTTGTTGTTGTTGAAGGTAATATAATTCTCTTTTCTTTCTCTATCAAAGTGTAGAAATAGGTTTATTTTTTCGTGCTCTTTATAATTCAACGAATGTATCACCAAAAAATGCAATCTTAATGTTGCAAAAATATTAATGCTGATAATAATTATTTGTCTAAAAGTAATGTCCATAAATATATCTCTAACAGAGAGAATTAAATTTAAAAAAACAATGCAACGTTAATTCAATTTCTAACACGACGTCTTTGATTAAATAATTTTATGTGTGATATTTTACATTTCTGTTGCATTTGAAATGTTTCACGTTTTATAAACAATACTTTTAATTAATACTCAACATTATAAATATCTTAATTTTACAAAATATGAAATTAAAATATCAGGAATTTTTAATTTATTATATATATGTTTATTCTTATTTAATTAGATTTTATTTTTTGCTTATTACTGTACAGAATACATAACGGTAAAGTAAGATACCGAAGCCTTCACCAGCTATAAAAAATAATACTGTTGAGTATGTGTTCATTTATATTACGTTTACATCAAATACATATATTTCAACACATGCATGACACATTATTTTCTTACCGTCGCAAAACATTCTAACGATCCAATAAACAATCCACCGACACCCAAAGTAAAGTTTTTGGCGTTTCTTTGCAACAGAAAAAGTATAATTTTTTGAATGTGTAAAGGAGCTAGATACCATTGAATGCTGTATCTATGAAGTCCAAATCCAATAAATTTAAAAAATCAATAATGAAAAAGAAAGGAAAATACATAAATAGTATTCCGCACATTTTGTTTAATTTTACGTAGATAACGTGCTAGTGTGTTTATTTTGAAATTATAAAATATATATTTATAAAATGTGCATATAAATATACATATTGTATATAATAATATCTCATTGAAAAAATCTCTTACGCAGTAATGAATACGTGATCAGTGTGATTTATAACATCTTGCCCGATATAGTTGGAAATAAACATGTATAAAATACAGGATATTACGGATATAGCGGGAAATAAAAATTCGTTGATGTTATCTTCAGATGCCCTAATCTGAAAAATCTAATACACAAGTTTCGTGAACATACTCAATTATTTATTGTGGCAGCAAATTGCTTCATTCTATTAAATATGCTATATATAAATTATACAAATAATGAAATAAACTAAATTGTTTAAATAATAAAAATTACGATTAATGTTTGTAAAAGATAATTTTATACGCGAAATTTTTTAATTAGATGTGTTTTTTATCAAAAAAAACATTCTTTTTTTAACACTAAATTGTAAATTATAAAATATCATCGTTCAAATATTTTTTTAGAAAACTATTGTAAGACTTACTCGGAAAAGATTGAGGCTCAAAGAAATCACTCCAACTCCTATTAAGCAAAACAGCATTATCTCAAATTTGGATACCAACAACTCAGACAATCTTCAAACATAAATAAATATTGTATAATTCTTGATGTATAATTTTTATGTAGATATAATTTTATATACTAACTTCATAGCTTGCCGATGAATATCAATGGCACTTATTATTTCTTTAAATATCAAATTCTCATTTTTTAAAGTCATATTTTGCAGCATATTAATCTTCATTACGCGTTTAATACGATAACTATAAAGAATGCATTTATAAAAAATAACCTCATCTCTTTTGCTTTCTAAAGGTAAATTTTATCTTTAGATTTATCCAAAATAATTATACAATACAATTTTGTTTACAATTTTGAATTTTTTAACCTTCTCTATAGTCTTCTCGTTCGATACCTTGAGATCCTAAACATTCCGCAAGTATGTTGGAGATATGCTATAAGCATCGTTCCTATCGCTATCATCGCGGTACATCCTATGCAAAAAGCTGCACATATATGCAACACGATTAAAAAAAAATATTTTTCTGGATCGATAAAATATTCCGTTGTAATAAGCAAATGACGAGATTCAGTTACGTTTCTCGATAAAACGACGTCGTAGATACTTGACCAAAATTGGGCAACAATAAGAGCAAATACGCTACAAATGGCAACTACTACAAACAGTTATAAAAGAATTCTCATGTAAAAACAAATTTCTGCATGTAAAACTATTCAAATTGCTTTTTATATTATGCGTGTGACATAGAAAGTATTGTAATGTAAAATTAAAAATTTGTCTTACTAATGAGTGTAATCGTGTACCATTTGCCGTTGTCACTATACTTTTCTATAATAATGTTTTCATATTTATCTCTTAGACCATTGTATGTATATTGAAGTTGCGTCAGTAAATCTTTCATCTATCAGTTCAACAATTTATTACACTAGCTTAAGATATCTCAAAAAGAATGGCCAATTATTAAAAAATATATTTTTTTGAAATATAAACATATATACAAACATATATAAAATTAAAAATTAAAAGTGAGTGTATACCTATACATATGTATATGTATATAGTATACAGGCATTACGCACAAACGAAGTGAAAATATCTGTTATAATAGCCAACTTACGTTTTCAATATTAACAGCAAATGCGATGTATTTGATTAGAAATAAAATAAAGAAAAGTGTAGTAGAAAAAACCTTAATGGCAAGGTCGGAAGTATATTTAACAGTCAAAAATGAAGTAAACTATAAACAATAAATTTATTAAAATACTAATATTAAGACATCATTTCTTTGGATATTCAGTAATTCAGTTACGTATTACACTTTTTACTACACAACTTTTAAACATAATGTTTTTATTAATATCTTCATATGTGATAAATGAAAAATTTTGCACTTAAATAATTATAATATAGATTATAATATAGATAATATGTAATAATTATTAAACAAATATAAAATTATTTTTTTCGTCAGTGAAAATTAACAAGAGAGATTATTTGACCAAACTGACGTTTAATATCGTAGTGTTACATTAATTCATTCGACGTTTCGACACTAGTTTTGTGTCCTTATCAAGAGTTTACTAAAACAACGAAGTCATGTTACATAAAAAATATATCACACAAAAAACAAAGAACGTAGAAAGGGAAATAAATACCTGTCCCATATTAAAGATTAGCCGCACATAAATTTTTTTGCAGTTGTAACACTATCAAATTTCAATGTGAAGGATCCGCGATCCATCCTTAATTAATCGTGCGATGTAGCACCGAAACAATACATAACCGGAACAGAGACGTGCGAGAAACGTCGTTCCGAGTCGGAGGACGGAGTCTAACTAATCGAAACGTCGAATGAATTAATGTAACACTACGATATTAAACGTCAGTTTGGTCAAATAATCACTCTAATTATTAAACATATAAATTATAATATATAAATTACGTGTTAGTAAAAGATCACTAGAAATATCAATTAGTTACAACTTATCTTATACCTTATATATAGTAATAATATTAAAATATTACCTTACTTGAAACAAAATAGCGCTTGTCAAAATACTGAGGAAAAAGATGAAGTGAAGACGGACGAGTTTTGATTGTTTATAGGGCCACAAACCCATAACGAGCAGAAGAATCCTGTTAAGACTGAAATATTGGGTCTCAATGCAGATCATATCTCTATGAACTCCAGAACATAACTGCGAAGAGAAAGAATATCTTTATTCCTTCCTTTTAGTATTTATTGATTAGGTATCCCTTCTCTTTTTTGGCGTAAATTTTAGTGCAATTTTCTTTTTCATTCGTATATGCAGCACATAATACTGTCGTGAGATCGGAACACTCGCATTTTAAATTTCTCAGAGTAAGGTCTATGATTAAGCGATCGATGTAATTGCGTAGAAAAATGGGTGTTTTCTTTATTATAAAAAAAATAACAGAACGCTCTTGAAAGAATGACATGCGCAGAAACCGTAGGAGATCCGCGCAAGCGTATTCAGCACTTTGCGATATTTTAATCTTCTCGCTTCATTCACATTTGTGCTGTCATAAGATACGCGTTTCATCTTTAGGAAAACGTTCATTCTTTCACTACCACTTCAAGAACATTTCAAGTTGTCGTTGAAGGTAATAAGATTCTTCTCTCAAAGAGTAGAAACATATTTCTGTTTAATAAGAGAAATAGGATCGTAACGATATACAATCAATTAGAATCAAAAGCCATGATAGAATGATTACAATGAAAAGCCATATAGATACAATACACATATATGTATACAAAAACTAATATAAGGCTGTCAAAGACCTAAGCTTGGATCGCATTGGTAGCGCATGGCTTTTGATTCTAATTGATTATATTCCTGTTTTTACTCCTATTTTAATTATTTTCTGTAATACATATTTCTATATGTAATACATCACAAAAAATTGAAATTTGACGTTTGAAGATACCAATATTAAAATTTCTCATTTATGTAGTAGTAAACTTTCCTGTGGCAATATATATATCTATATATATAAAATAGAATGTCTTTATGTCTGTATGTCTGTTCTTTATACACTCTTAAACTATTCGACCGAATTTTTACCAAAAGTATATAAAATAGGGGTAAAATTTTCCGGGGAGTGTCATGATGTGTATAGTTTTTCGTTACCGATTTTCTGGAAACCGGTTTTTTTAATTTTTTTAATTTTTCGGGAAATAATTGACCGAATATCAAAGAATTACGTATGAAACAGGGGTAGAATTTCCCGGGGAGTGCTATAAAGTGTATAATTTTTGTTACCAATCTTTTTGGAAGCCGGTATTAGAAATTTTTCCAATTTTTCGGGAAATAATTGATTGAATCTTAAAGAATTGTATATGAAGTAGGGGTAGAATTTCCCGGGGAGTGCTATAAAGTGTACTATTTTTTGTTACCAATCTTTTTGGAAACCGGTTCCAAATGACCGAATCTCAAAGAATTGTACATAAAATAGGGGTTGAATTTCCCGGGGAATGCTATAAAGTATTTTTTCGTTACCAATCTTTTTGGAAACTGGTATCAGAAGTTTGACGAATTTTTCGGGAAATAATTGATCGAATTTTAAAGAATTGTATATAAAAACAGGGGTAGAATTTCCCGGGGAGTGCTATAAACTGTATAGTTTTTCGTTACCGATTTTTTTGGAAACCAGTATCTTTTTGGAAATCGGTTACAAAATTTTTCAGAGAGAGAGAGAGAGAGAGAGAGAGAGAGAGACTATTTGCGTGTTTTATTACATATGTCCTCCGGGGCGAAGCCCGGGTAACTAGTTAGTATATATATACATACATATATATATACATATAATATATTAAAAAGGGAAAATTAAACTTAACACAAACGCAAAATAGATTTGTATATGCTTTGTATGAAAAAAATCTCATAATGCATATTTTATTTTAATGTTGTGTGAAGGTGTGACATGTACCAGTATCTTTGATTAAATAATTTTATTTCGAAAATGTCTTATATCTCTTTAAATAACATCTCTAACATCTCTAACCAATCTTTAAATATTCATAACTATAGTACTACCAAATTCAAACATTAATTAATTTTTACTACTTGGTTTTGTACTAATTATTGTATATTTAATATCACATTTTTATTTATCTTTGCCTTATCGTGTAGAATATATGAAGGTAAAATACCGAACCTTCATCAGCTATAACGAATGATAACGTGCATTTATATTATGTTACTTCAAATATATTTTGATGCATAATATATAATAATATATAAGAAAAGATTCTTACCGTGGCGAAACACTCTAATAATCCAATAAATAGTCCATCGACAGCCAAAGTAAAATTTTTGGCGCCTCTTTGCACTAGAAGAAGTATTAATTTTTGTACATGTAACGAAGCCATATACCATTGAACATCGTATTTATCCCATGTCATTATTTAAATTGTTAGTTGTATTGTAGAAATGTCTACTTGAATAAAAAGACAAATATATCATAAATTATCAACTTACATTGTCGATATTAACAGCGAACGCGATGTATTTTTTTATTATAAAAATAATTTTAAAAAGTATGATACAAACAACCTTAATGATAAGGTCGGAAGTACATTTTGAACTTACAAATGCTGTAAACTGCAAACAATAACGTAGAATTTCTAAATTACTAATTGCAGTTTGTGCAGATAATAATAATATAGAAAATATTTTATAGTCGTAACTAAACAATTATAATATAAATTATATCGTGTACACTAAACTTTTGACATGCCCCTATATAAGAAAAAATCAAGGCACGGCAAATATCCGGCGGAGGCAAGAATACGCAACCGTCAATAATGTTCAACGGAACCTATAGCGCCGCCTCAACAATCTATTGTAACGCTTTAATCATAAATCATAAGCAATCGTGGTCGTAAGGAAAGAAGCTATCGTAAATGTGTGGTGTGTGTATATATAAAATCTTAATACGTTATAAAGTTGTGTTGCACAACAGCAAATAGCGAAACAAAATGTCAGGGGCCAAGTAAAGCTGTTACGACGAGCGCGGGGCGCTACGATTAACATTATAATATGTAGATGGATCACTAAGAAGACGTTGCCGGACATGGGTTACTTAACAAAAATTGTTCAATTTACCAAGATCTAACACCCTTTTAAATTTGTCGCAAATGTCCGGAAACACTCTGTATATATAATCATTGATACTAAATGAAATATATAAGAATAGTATTTAATGTTTAATTAAAATTGCGCAATAAAATATCATGTTTGGAAGCAAAGTAGAATAAATATATATATATTTTTTTGTTTTTATTTACAGTAGAGTGGAAACAAAATCTATGATTTCAATGCACCAAAGATACCTGATGTACTATAATATCTTGATTTGAATAATTTTTACCTTCTATTATCTTTCATAACAGTTTTTTATAAATATCTAAACTGCATTTTCAAAAAATTTGTATTTTCTAAATATGAATATGTTGCTTCTTGATTAATTACGCTCTCACCATGCTGTTACCGAATTCACACTTGCTTCATCATCGTGTAGAATATATAACAGTAAAGTAAGATACCGAAGATTTAACCAGCTGTAATTAAGAACGTTTCTTTTCATAACAATTATTTCTAAAATGGTATTTTTGAGATATTCTATATCATCTTACCGTGGCAAAACATTCTATAGATGCACTAAATAATCCACCAACATTCAAAGTAAACTCCTTGGTTACTCTTTGTAATAGAAATAGTATCATTCTTTGTATATGTAACGGGGCTCTATACCACTGAACGTTATACCTATAAATTTGTACATAGATAACGAATTGCTAATTGATTTAAAAAATTTATTACTTTTAGCATGTACTCTAATTTTGTTCTACAACTATATTCTAAATCTGATATTCATTCTTAATCCGTTGTGGTCACATGAGGTCCCCAGGCTTTTTTTTTTAAATATACTATTTTGAGAGTAAAACGCAAGAAGTTTTTTTGCTTTATTTCAAAAAATTTTGATAAATATTTTTGTAAAAAAAGTCAAATTTCTCGAAAAAAAAAATTTTTTCTCGCGTTTTTTCAACATAAAAAAATTTTTTAAATTATTGGATTATAAAGAGGAAGTCATAAACTAAATTCCAGTTCAAGGTTTGAGTCGATACATCAAAAAGAACGCAAATGGCAACTGTTGTGGGGTCCATTGGACCCCGTGTGACCACTACGTTATTTTTAGGAGGTGTGACCACAACGGGTTAAAGAGCAAACGTTTATATCTATCTCATGAAATGTTTCTTACGCAGTAAAAAGGACATCATTATTGTGATCTATTATATCCTGCCCAATATAGTTGGCTATAAACATATATATAATACTGACAGATACACATAGCAGCGGGAAAAAAAATTCCTCGACATTATTTTCAGATGAAGCAATCTGAAAAATCTAATATACAAATTTTATGGAAATTGTCGATCTTTTTTATATATACTTCTTAATACTATCTATTAATACTATTAATCTATAAATAATACGCAGTGTAAACTTCGTTTTTTTTTATAAAGCTATTTTCTTAAAACTAAGGATAAAAATATATTATATAGAATTGGAAAATTGCTTTGCAGTGCTTTGATTAATGAGAAATAGCACAAGAGGGGTATAAAATATAATACAAAGACTGTCTAAAGAATATGTAGATTAGCGATATTATTTAAAAAATATCAGAAAACTTATGTTATTGTTATATCTTCAACACTGAATTTTATAATACAATATGCATCTTCTCTACTCGTGATTTTTATTTTAATGATATGTAGTATATGTACAGTTAGGTATCTAAAGTTTTGGATTCGTCACTTCTAATTTATTTATATAATAATTGTTATTGAAGGTTTATAACTCTGGCATCAGTTTGTCGATTCTTGCTATACGTACTGAATAGTACATATTAATATATATAATTACCGAACGTACATCATAACACAAAATAGAAAACATACTTGAAATAGATTCAGAGTTAAGCAAGCCACGCCACACACTATTAAACAAAACATCATTATCTCGAATGTAGACAGCAAGTGTTTGGACAATCTTCAAAAACAAAAATATATTACTAAACATATTAAATGTATATATTTATGGACGTGAATACAAACTTCATAGCTTGTCGGTGAATGTCGACAGCACAAATTATGCCCTCAGTCATTAAGATTTTATTTTTCAGCGTAATATTTTGTCGAATGTTGATATTTATTGCATGCTTGATACGATAGCTGTAAATGTTTGTGTCATAATTATACAGCAACACACTGAATGACAGTTTTTCAGCTAAAACCACACTTTTACACAATTATTTTTTAACACATTATGTTGTTTAATAATAACAAATTTTGGTTACAATTCAAATTATTATAATCGTTCCTACGTCTATTTTCGTACCAAGCAATTCTAAACATTCCACAGATACACTGCATCAATGTAATGAGCATTGTTCCTATTGCTAATATCGAAGCCCACCCGACGCAAATTACTGCACTGAAGTGCAGCAGAATCAAATAGAAATACTTTTCCTGATCGATAAAATATTCCATCATAATTGGCAGATGACGTAATTGAGATACGTTTTTCGGTAAAACGACAAGAGTATTCAACCAATATTGGCTGGTAATAATGACAAATGCGGTGCTAACAGCAAATACTAAAAAATATCAAAAAAAACATTTTTGTCGTTAAAATTTCTACCGTATATGCTTATCAAGATCTATAGTGTTTAATACGCGCACATACATATATAAAATTTATATTGTTATATATAAAATTATATATAAAATTTTATATTATTTTGTTAACTCATTTATAATTGATTTCTATTTAGAACTACTTTATTATTTCTATCAATTTGTACATACAATTGCAATTCACATAATGCAATTTGTACAATATGTCACTAATGTGTTACTAATTATTGTAAACGCATGTATACGGCAAATACTTTAGTAGATTTGTGTAATATAAAAGTATGGAAAAATATATCATAATTTGTCGAAATCGACTTTGAAGTATTCATATCTTATCGTTAAATAATCATTTTAAGCATAGATCTAGAAGTATATTGTTTTACTTGTAAGTATAATTGTATAACGTCTTGCACTGCAACTATATTCTTCTATGATAGCAACTTCGTTTTTATCTTTTAATTGACTACATATATGTTGAAATTGCATCAGTAAATCTTTTACCTGTTATTCCAATAATTTTATATATTGTCTCTGTATATAACTATATATGATAATAGTTTCTAATATATAATAATAATTCAATCGACATCACAAATGATTATACTGCGGAACACATACTCTTATAAACTTACAGCTTTGATGTTAATACAGAATGAGTTGTATTTTATTAAGGAAACAATAAATAAAGATGCGGAAGATAGAACCCTGACGAGATTTGACGTACATTTTGATGTTATTAGCGTTGTTAACTACCGGTAATAATTTTATTTATAATTATGAACTATTTCATAGTGAAGCGGTAACTTCATATAATATTATTAGTTATACTCTATTCTTACCTGAAATATAACACCCGCTGTCAGAATAGTAGAGAAGCAAATAAACTGCAATCGTGTCAATTTAGATTGTTGATAGGGCCACAAGCCGATCACGAGCAATAGAATTCTATTGAAGCTAAAATACTGAATTTCTAAAGGAATCATTTCTTTGCAACGTCCGGCATGCGACTGATTACGAAAAAGTCGACGAGTACGATTATCCCTCCTTCTTTTCTATTGATCGACTAAATATTATCTCTTATATGTAAATTTTAGCGTGAATGCCATAAGTTGCATAATGTAGGGCTATAAAAATTGCCATCGTAGGATCAGAAATTTATTCATATTTTAACAGCGTTTTTTGCAATAAGAATTACGATAATTATGATTAAGGTATCGATCTGCCATCATGGAAACTTGAACAGATATCTTCTTTTAATAAAAAAAAAAAAAAAGATGGTTATGAGAGAACAAAAGTCACGCAAGCGCATATCCTCTTTTTCACTGCAATAACTTCATTCCCGTATGTACTCTCGCAAGATACGTTTTGTCTTTGAATCGAATATCCTCCAACCTTGACTTCTTCAGTACCGATCTTAATTAATACAATTCATGTCATTTTTAAACATAGTGATTAGATCAATGATAATATCTTTATATGCTATAAAATATTATTATAATTATAGATATTTTTAATTGATAAACAGCGTACGATTGACACACACACGCACAGTTGAGCAGGTATTAAATATCATGTTACCTATCAAATAATATTATTTTATACCAGACATGTTCTCCCTTTTAATTATCTTTAATTTTTTTTATATCTAAAATATTTGAACCTTGTTATTTATATGGACATTAAAATATATTATTAAAATATATACATATATTTAAAAAATATATTTAAAATATATATTTAAAATATATTAGTATTAAAATATGACAATAATTTATTACTTATCAAGGTAATGTCCAATTCGTGCACTGAGAAAAAAATGTTCTGGATTTTAGTAAACATTAGTTTGCATACAACTGTGACTCCATTTATTAAAATAAAGAAAATTTTTTTTTTATTAGTATATTTTTTTCCTAGTGAATACACATATACTAATAAAAAGGTAAATTTTCTTTATTTTAGTAAATAAAGTCACAGTTGTATGCAAACTAATATTTATTAAAATCCAGAAGATTTTTTCTCAGTGTGCTAATAACATCATATACGGGAAAAGTCTATCGAATATATTTGAACTGATATCTATATCTAATATATATATAATTCAATGTTCCGACTGACTCATCAATGCCCAGCCCAAATCCTTAAACCTAGAAACATGAAATTCGAGGAATATATTCCTTCCATGACATAAGCACCCACTAAGAAGGGATTTTTAGAAATTCGAGCCCTAACAGGGTGAAAAAGGGTAAAAAGGGTGAAAACGTGTTTTCACGGATTTCTCAATATCTTTTAGGCCCGATGAAATATCAACTTGGTTTTTGCTTACAAAGGTTACTCATACAAGGGCTTAAAAACATAATTCAAGATTTTGCCCTAATCAATCCCTAAAGGGGCAAATCTAAATTTGGAGGTAAATTATAAAATCCTTCGCATACCGTAGCGAAGCACGGGTGTATCAAGCTAGTTGCATATAAAATAACTTAGACCGCATGTATGTCGAAAAAACGTCATAAAGATATCTTTAAGATGTCTTTTAGACACGTATGTCTGAAAGATGTCTTTACGACGTCTTTTAGACATGTGTACTGTCTGGGAATTAAATTTCTTTGTCCATACTTGATGTGCATACAATACGTACAATATATAATCCTAATGCATTTGCAAATAATTGACGTCTTATGCGTTAAAATATTTAAATATTAAACGTTCTCGATTTTCTTTAGTAGCGAAACTTCGCACAAGCTAAATTACATAGTCAAAAATAAAATTTTGAGTAAATATTTAAATTATTAATCCCACCTCCAATGTTTTTGATCTTAACATATATTGTTAGTTATATAATCTTGAGCAATGTTCAAAAGATTTTTGCCGGCAGTCATTGTTTATTAAAAAGTTATTAATAAAAAAGTTACAATTAGAGTAGGATTGGGTTAGATTAGATTTTTTGAAGATGGAAGTACACTGTAAGCACCAGACGGTGGGATAAACCTTATTTCGCGTGGAAAGTTGGAAACCCATGTGGGACCATACAATGATGAACTTCATTTCGCATCCGAATCAAGGTCTCGATATGTTTTTCAATATTATGGCTTACTTCTATAAACTGACACGTAAATAATATTTGTAGAAATTACTTAATAAATTTAGCTGCTGCAACTTTTTTTGTTAGTAACTTTTTAATAAATAATGATCGCCGACTAAAGCCTCTTGTGAGTTTTTGTTTTATGTTCTGGATCACATATATGAAGACATCGAGGATAACACCAGTAATCTGCATATTTACCGAATTTTCTGTTTCCTAAATATAAAATGCTAATTTATCTTCTTCAAAAATACAGTTTTTTCATGTGCTTACTTGATTTATATTTGTCTCGTCACTGTGTAGATAATATAACAGTAAAGTAAGATACCGATGCTTTCACCAACTGCAATCAAAAACATTATTATTGTTACACTTGTTTTTAATATACTATCTAATTATTGTTCACTTGTTTTTAATATACTATCTAATATAGTCTTAAAAAAACACTACTATTCACTAACTGACTATTCACTGATTCAGATTTAGAGCGTACATGATTCTTACCATGGCAAAGCACTCTAAAGATGCAGTAAACAATCCACCGACATTCATAGTAAAAATTTTAGCGCCTTTTAACAATAAAAAGAGTATGATTCTCTGGATGTGTAAAGGAGTTACGTACCATTCTACTCTGTATCTATTATAAAAATTATAAGGACGAGAATAGAACATTTAAGAGAAAAGTAGAAAGATTTACGAATATTGTTCATCATTTTACATTAATAATTACAATACTTGTTAAGTATTAACTTCTTTACTTTTTTTACTTGTTTACTTTAGATAGCAAACTGTAAAATGAATCTTCTTGTAATTATACATATATCGTGAGAAAGCTCCTTACACAGTATCAAAAACGTAATTATTGTAATCCGTCATATTTTGTCCAAGAGAATTCGATATAAAGAGATATAGAATATTAGTAGCTGCAAACATCATAGGCCATAAAGCTTTTTTAGTAGCTTGCTCGGATAACACAATCTGAAAGATCTGAAATACAAATATCACGACTGCAATCAATTTTTTGCACCATAATTGATCTTAATATCGATTTATATAAAATTGCTACGCAAGTTTGATTAATAAGAAATATCAATAAAATTTTCTCATGTAGCATAAATTTCTCAAGTTAATGTTATGAAATGTCTAATACCTGTTCAGGAAATAAAATAAATATAAGAATAAAATCTCTGAAACTTACATGGGCAAAGTTGAAACATAATGAAATTACAAATATCTGTGCTAAACAGAAGAACATTATCTCAAATTTGCATATAAAGTATTTGGATAATCTTTAAAAATAAGAATTTGTTGTTACTACGTATATTACATGTATATACTATTATATATACTTATGGATACTAACCTTATGACTTGTCGATGAAGATCTATAGCGCTAATTAAATCTTCAGATTTTAAAATTTTGTTTTTTAATGTAATATTTTGCTGAATGATTTTCACTGCGCGTTCAATACGATAACTGTAAATAATATGGTTTTTAATAACGTATTTCTTTGTTTGCGCAACGTAAATTCTACACATGTTTTCAACACAGTTTTGTCTGCAACTTAAATTTTCCTGGCATTTTACGTTTATTTTATACCTGGATATTTGAAACATTCCACAGAAAAATTTAAAAAATGCAATAAACATTGTTCCTGTTGCTATCATCGCAGTTAAGCCTATACATACTGCTGTGTTTGTATGTAGTAGAATTAAAAAGAAATATTTTTCCTGATCAACAAAATATTCCGTTACAAATTGCATGCAATGTGATCGAGTTACATTCGTTGATAGAACATCATCAGACAAAGTCCAAAATTGAATAAAATAAAGAAATGCGCAGATACCAGCTACTAAAAAATATTAGAAAATAATTTAATATTTGAATTTCTATTGTATAACGTAGAACTTTCAAATTATTTTACATATAGCATGCCTACATAAGTTACAAAATATTAATATTTTTTAACTTTCATCAATATTTATTGCGCAATTGATATAGCTATTCATAATTTTATTGAATGTAGACATAGAGACACGTTTCTTACTATGCATATATGTATAATTATCACATAAATACATCAAAAGTATGTACGTATACAAAAAATAAATTCAAATGGTTATACTACAGTATATCCAAAGATATATATAAAGAATTTATGGTAATCCATCATAGTCGATTTCTTTGACTAAAATTTTGATAAATTATATGTATTATCTTACCTATAAGTGCAACCGTATAACATTTCGAGATGTAGCCATATTTTTCTATAATAGCGATTTCGTTTTTATCTTTTAATTCGTTACATACGTGCTGAAGTTGTATCAACAATTCTTTTACCTGTTATTTCAGTAACTTATATGCCACCTTTGTATATATAAAACACTTTTTTTTCTTGGAAATATTTTTTAACATAAAAGTTTTACAGTTACCACTAATGAACTTACAGTTTCAATATTAACACGAAATGCGAGATATATTATTATAAAAGCAGTTAAAAAAGATGTAGGAGAGAGAACTGCGACGACGAGATCTGAAGTATATTTTAATGCTGTTATAAATGTTGTCAACTGTAATTATATTTGTTTATAAATTACATAAACATATATAATTATAAATAATTATACTAGATAATATAAATTGATATAAATTATTATTTGTTAGTGAAGGATTGTTATGTGTTAATTCATCGTACAATAATGTTATTGTGTGTTACGTTGCTTCTTACCTGAAATATAATACACGTCATCAAAATAGTAAAGAAAAGATTAAATTGAAATCGAGTGAGTCTGGATTGTTGATATGGCCACAAGCCAATAGCGAGTAGTAAGATTCTATTGAGACCTATTAAAAATTGAGTCTCTATACGGATCATCACTTAGCTGAGTCCAGGACACGAATGATTGTCGAAGCAATCGACGAGAGTACGCTCCCCTCCTTTGCCTATTGTGATCGATCAGACATTCTATGAATTTCCTTCTTCTGGCATAAATTTTAGCGCATTATGTAATTTCGTTTAACGTAGGAACGATACATAATACCGTGAGATCATAACACTCGCAATTTGACAAATTTCTTAATGAGAGATATACCTTTGTACTATATCGATTTTACGCGAAGAGAAATTTAACAGTCATTTTTCTCTCATAAAAAGTGAACCACTTGTGAAAAAAATTCTAAAATAAGAATAGCATAGTCGCATTTTTGTCATTTGTATAAGTAGCGCGATTTTACATCCGACATCAACTTCAGCGTTATATCTTCTTTTAATAAAAAGAAAAAAAAGTTTAGAGAGGACAAAAGTCACACAAGCGCATATCCCCTTTTTCGCCGCAATAACTTCATTCTCGTATGCGCTCTGGCAAGATACGTTTCGTCTTTGAATTGAATATCTTCCAATTTTGGCTTCTTCAGTATCGATCTTAATTAATACAATTCCTGTCATTTTTAAACACGGTGATTAGATCAATAATAATATCTTTATATGTCACACATAAAATATTATTATAATTATAAATATTTTTAATTGATAAACAGCGTATGATTGACACACGCACACAATTGAGTAGATATTAGATATATTATTATCAAAGTGTCGTAATAATATTATTTTATATCACACGTGCATGGAAAGTGGCCCATTACGCACGCGACGCGCACTTGCAACATAAAATAGGGTATGCAACACGTGCGTAAAGTTGAAAATTCCCGGGTGCGGTGACCGCACTCGCCTTCGGCTCGTGCGTCAACTCCGCACCCGTGAATTTTCATCTTCCAGCACTTGTTGCACAAATAACTATTATACTAGATATATTTTCTTTTCTTTTATCTTTAACTTTTTTAATATATATTTACTTAATACTAAAATATTTGAACTTTATTATTTACATAAACATATTAAAACATATTAGTAATAACTAATTACTTATCAAGGCAATGTCCTATTCGTGTTAATAACATTCTATATACCTACAGGAAAAATCTGTTTAATATATTTGAACTAATTTTACACATAAAATAACTAAATCACTTATTAATATTTGATGTACGTACAATATCTAATCCTAATGCGTTTGCGGAAATTTGACGTCTCTAATGTGTTAGATTATTCAAATATTAAATATTTTCAATTTTCGTCAATTAGCAAAACTTCAAGCTAAATTATATAATCAAAAACAGAATTTTCTATTTTTTTTTAATATAAAAAAAAATGCTGTTTTATCTTTTTTAAATATTTCTGTCTCATGGGTTTACTTAATTTATTTTTATCTTGTCACTGTGTAGATAGTACAACAGTAAAGTAAGATACCGATGCTTTCACCAACTGCGATCAAAAACATTATTATTGCTATATTTATTTTTAATATACTATCTATACTAAAAAAAAGCACTAATACATAATTTGTATCTTACCATGGCAAAGCACTCTAAAGATGGAGTAAAAAATCCGATATTCAAAGTATAATTTTTGGCGCCTTTTAGCAACAAGAAGAGTATGATTCTCTGGATGTGTAAAGGAGTTACGTACCATTCTACTCTGTATCTATGAAAATATATGATTATAAGGACGAGAATTGATAATTTGAGAGAAAAGCAGGAAGGTTTACGAACAATTTTCATTATTTTAATTATTATAATATTTATAACGTTTAGTACTTATTTACTTTTAATACAGAAATTTGTAAAATGGACTTTCTTGTAATTATATTTCGAGAAAAGGCTCCTTACACAGTATCAAATACGCAATTATTGTAATCTGTCAAATTTTGCCCAAGATAATTTGATATAAACAAATATAAGATATTAATAGATGCACATAGTATAGGCAGTATAATTTTCGTAGCAGCTTGTTTGGTACACACAATCTGAAAAATCTGAAATACAAATCTTACGACTGCAATCAATTTTTTGTATTTTAATTATCCTTTAACTGTCATTTTACGATACGCGAGTTTTAATAAAAGTCAATAATTTTTCAAGTATATATGTAATAAAATATCTAATGCCTGTTTAAAAATAAATATAAGAATAAAATCCGAAACTTACTCGAACAAAGTTGAAACACAATGCAATTACAAACACATATGCTAAACAGAAGAACATTATCACAAATTTGGACACGAACTGTTTAGATAATCTTCAAAAATAAGAATTTGTTACTGCATATATAACACGTATATATCATTATATGGATACTAACTGTATGGCTTGCCGATGAATATCTACAGCGCTAATTAAGTCCTCAGATCTTAAAGTTTTGTTTTTCAACGTAATATTTTGCAGAATGTTGATTTTCACTGCGCGTTCAATACGATAACTGTAAATAAGGTGATTTTTTAATAAGGTATTTTATTGTTTTCGCGTACTCTTTCATATTTGTTCAGTTTTATTCACAACTTAAATTTTTGTCACCATTTCAGATTTGTTTTATACCTGGAGATTTTAAACATTCCACAAATAAATTTAAAGTATGCAATAAACATTGTTCCGGTTGCTATCATCGCAGTTAAGCCTATACATACTGCTGTGTTTGTATGTAGCAGAATTAAAAAGAAATATTTTTCCTGATCTACAAAATATTCCGTTACGAGTTGCATGCGACGTGGTCGAGTTACGTTCGTCGATGGAACATCATCAGACAAAGTCAAAAGTTGAATTATAATACTAACTGTGCATATACCAGTTACTAAAAAATATTAGAAAACAATTGATATTCAAATTTCTGTTATGTAATGTAAAACTTTCAAATTATTTCATATACAATATAGTATATCTACGAGGGGTAGTCTAAAAATAAGTTTCGCGTATGTATAGTTCTGAAGCCGGTAGGCTTGTGAAGTAAAATATACCAGGTGCTGATACTGGCATCCTTCTTCTTGCAGTATGTAATAATGTTAAACCTTGATTGTGCAAGCATGCTTTTCGCGAGCGTAGTAGTAATCCGAAGTGACCGAGTGCCTTAATTGAATAAAATTAATCGAATGACCAAACGCCTTGATCACCCCCCTACAGTAAAAGTCGCGATCTTGCACCCAGCGACTTTCACTTCTTCCGAGTTTTGAAGAAGGTTTTGGGAGGGCAGCGTTTCACCAACAACAAAGATTTGAAACAAGCGATTCGAAACTTCATTCGTATACTTTTACGAAAGAGAGTTTTTCAACCTTGTGAAGCGATATAATAAGTGTATTTTAATGTCGCTTATGTTGAAAAGTAATATAAAAATGTATCTCCTACAATTAATAATGTATTAGGTACAGAATACAAATTTTTGTTGAATACAGACTCGCGAAACTTATTTTCGGACTACCCTACACATTACAAAATATTAATATTTTTTAGTTAAACTATCATATTCAGTATTTATTGCGCAATCGATAGCTATTCGTAATTTTATTAGAAACACGTTTGCTACTATACATATATAATCATTACATAAATACATCAAAAGTATATGCCACAAATAAATTTAAATGGTATATTATATATGCAAAGATTGTATAAAGAACTTATGGTAGGTACTAGTTTAAAAGTGGAATCTGTCAAATTCGATTTTTTTTTTAAATAAAATCTTGATAACTTATGTGTTAATTAGGAAAACATAATTATATGTAAAAATATAAAAATATTATCTTACCCGTAAGTGCAACCGTATAACATTTCGCAATATAGCCATATTTTTCTATAATAACGATTTCGTTTTTATCTCTTAATTCGTTACATACGTGCTGAAGTTGTATCAACAACTTCTTTACCTGTAATTTCAGTAACTTTATATGCTATCTTTGTATACTTTTACTTTTGTATACATATATCAATATATTGAGAATTATTTTTTTAATAATAAAAATTTAACAGACATCCCAAACTATGAACTTACAACTTTGATATTAACACGAAATGAGTAATATATTATTATACAAATAATAAAAAAAGATACGGAAGACAGAACCATGGCGATGAGATCTGAAGTATATTTTAATGTTGTTATAAATGTTGTCAACTGTAATTATATTTATTTATAAATTACATAAATATATATAATTATAAATAATTATACTATAGATAATATAGAGTGATATAAATTATTATTTGTTAGTGAAGGATTGTTATGTATTAATTCATCGTACAATAATGTGTGTTATTGTGTGTTATATTGCTTCTTACTTGAAATATAATACTCGTCATCAAAATAGTAAAGAGAAGATTAAATTGAAATCGAGTGAGTCTGGATTGTTGATATGGCCACAAGCCAATAGCGAGCAGTAAGATTCTATTGAGACCTATTAAATATTGAGTCTCTATACGGATCATCACTTAGCTGAGTTCAGGACACGAATGATTGTCGAAGCAATCGACGAGAGTACGCTTATCCCCTCCTTTGCCTATTGTGATCGATCAGACATTCTATGAATTTCCCTTTTCTGGCATAAATTTTAGCGCATTATGTAATTTCGTTTAACGTAGGAACGATACGTAATACCGTGAGATCATAACACTCGCAATTTGACAAATTTCTTAATGAGAAATATACCTTTACACTATATCGATTTTCCGGGAAGAGTTTATCAGTCATTTTTCTTTCATAAAAAGTGAAGCACTTGTGAAGGAAGTTCTGAAATAAGAATAGCACAGTCACGTTTTTGTCATTTGAAGGTAGCGCAATACCTTTATCTACATATTTTATTCTCGCATGTGCATATATAGCTACGTTACGTTCGACTTTTAAGGGAAAATATCGCTTACTCATTGTTAAATACTGTCATTATCAGCTTTAACATTTCCATTCGTTTCAGTGTTTATTTTGTTACCCGCAGGACATTTTATTTTGAAAAGAACGAAGCATACACCTTCGAGCTCTGTCGAGTGTGAACATATTAACTTTTCTTCCAAACACACGTGTATACTTGCAGGTATACATGTATTTATTATATAGGAATGGAAATATTTACGGTAATAACAAACGTTTTTAGTATATAATTAATTAAGATTTTCTCGCAATTAATTTATGGTATATTATCTTAATGTATTGATTATAATTATTAAAAAAGTAACATAAAATCCCGATAGCATATAATTCGATATTTGCAATATATATTCCTATCATATTTAATAACTTCAAGAATGCCCAAATTAAACAGTTAAATCTTCTTTTCGCGATTTGCATGACTCGTGATTTCCTAATAGGAAAGGTGTATCAAAATCATCCCATCGTGTTGAAACCTGTATAACGCAAACAGGTATCCTGGCGACAGGAGGGCGATTCTATCAGGATCGCATCCCTCGCGAGCAATTTCTCGTGCGGGGTGTAGGCGCGTAAGCGACCTGTCCGCCTCCATGCATCCTTGATCCGGAAATATGCTTCGCGTTTGAGGCAATTACGGGCATTAGCGTGGGTGCCGTTGCGGCTTTAATTTGACTCGCATCTGTCTCGCTTCGGCGCTTTTGAACTTCCCAAATACGATTATACGCGACGCTCTCTTTATCTCGACAATAATTTTCTCCGTCGTTATTATATAACGTATGCGCGTATGCATTTGACACGTGAAATAAAAAGTATGTCGTATAATAACTTATAATCTTTATTAAATCCAAAAAATATAATAATCTTATTTTACATAAAACTCGGATAAATAATTATAAAATAGCTTTTAATATCTAAATTTGCAGTAATATTTGGTTTTAAATAAAATTATAAATCGAATTTTGGCTTCTGTGATGATTTAGAATAAATTATAACATTGTAATATTGTTTAATTTATCATAATTTAATTTTTAAATAAATATTGAGTGAATTGAGCTCCTTTTAGAAAAGAAATGATAAAAATATTTGTTGTAAATAAGCAAAACCTAAAGTATAAATAAATTTGTCAGATAAAATTAGAGACAACATACTTCGAGGTAAAAAGGTGAATGTAAAAGATGGTTTTTGACTTTCACTTGGGGATGATAGCTCGAACTTTGCCCGAGAAGGCTGACGCACTATCTACGTCACTGTCACCTTATTTGCTTGTGCCAAAAAATTATAGTAAACTATCTGCTCGTGAATCTGTTTTTAATCAGAAAAAAATGCTACACTTTTTAATAATTTCTTTCCGAATTTAATAATGACGTAAACTGTCTTATAAATTGAATTTTCGTCTCAGCACTTTTTAGCCTAAAAAACTATCATTCTAAATATTCAAAACTCTAATTCTGTAATGTAGGAAAATTAATAAAACCATTATTAACACGGAATTTAAAAAAAATGGATTAAATTTTTGACACAGATTATTATTTTATTTTAATGTAATCTTTACGAGATTTAATTAAATGATTAATATATGAAAATATTCAATCTTAGAACTTAAGTTTTTATTTTATTCAGAAGAAATTTTATCCGCCCCTACTATTGATGCCGAAACCTAGATTGTGTTACGTCACCGCTCCTATTGTTACGTAATGTTACATCGTTATAACCATCGTCATAATCGTTTATGCGCGATTACGCGTTATGACGTCGCGAAGATGGGATGCTTCGCGTGCCAGGGTCGCAGGATTTTCCAGGAGCGCGTCCGATTTCCTACCTTTGTCGTAAAGAGATTCGTATTTGGTTCTTATATTTAAGACCGTCTTAAGTACAATTTTAAGATGTTATTAACCAATCACAGAGCCGTATTAGCATATCTGAAGATATTACTTAAGACAGTCTTGAAATAAGATCTGACTATGAATACCGGCCATATACTACTTCTGTAGTAACTTACGATAATTCCTTCGCATAAACGGGATTTTCCTTCGTGTAAACGGGATTTTGTAGTAACTTACGATAATTTACTTGCGTAAACGAGTGATATATCGTAAGTTACTACAGAAGTAACGCTCGCGTAAACGTAGTAATAGATATCTTATACACATAATATTATCCTTCGATTAGAATTAGGGCTATAAAGATAGCTTACAGATCTTCAACTCGGATTTTCATTGGATCTTCAACATCTTGAGATAAAATAATTAAAATGCAGTTTAGAAAACAGTAAAAAAGATATGGAATATTTAATTCTAAATAAGGTCTCAGTGTGAAGAGAAATGGGACATTTCTCCAAGTTCTATTACAGCGAATCTATGTATTATAGAGAGAGGCAAATTAATAAAAATTATACTTAATGGTTGAAGAACTGTTGTGAGTGTTTTACACGTTACAAACTGAAATGTTATTCGTTATTTACGTTTATTTTTTTTTACACAAGAATGATTTGGAGGGTTAAATAAATGAATATTTAGGCTCTGGTGCGCGTATGTCATCGAAAATGCTCGGGTCGGGTTCGTCATCGGGATCGAATTCTATGCTCATTGGATCGATCATAGGAGGTGGTTGGGGAACCCTGGGTTTCGCGGACGGTGCTGGTCGCATCAGACAGGCCTCCAGTCTTTCCCTCACGCACTTTTTCTCACCCGTCGCGTCTATTACGGACGCAGTTTTCCCCGCGTATCGCATTATGGCATCTATATTTTCTTCGTACTCCCGAAGCTACATTTAGCAAATAAAACAGCGAAATAATTTTAATTAAAAATTTAAAAGTTGTAAAACTTTTTCTTTTAAAAAAACATAATGCTTCAAAAACGCGCGTGTATATGTGTAAAATAAAAAGTATAATTATAAATCGACATATATAAATACAATTTACATCTAAAAGATAAGAGAGATTTAAAAACACGGTTTAACCGTTAATAAAAAAGATTTATAATTTGTAAGATATGTTTTTCCAACCAGAGAATAAAACAAAGTATTATATTTATATAAATATCTTGAGCGAGAATATTTTGGAAGGTAATGTGGTATAGTTACATCTTGTTCGATGACGTCTTTGTAATCATTGGAATAAACATCTAATTTACAATCTGGATCCGTCGCCGGAGACTCGCACGATGTGAGATCGTGCTCGCTTTTAGTAATAATGTCGCATTGACGATTCAAAAAACTTTCTCCGCACATTTGTACGTCCATTTTTAGGACAATTACTCTTAATGTAATTTCGAAAATCGTAATTATGATAGTATTATGGGATTTCTGTGGAATTGTAGCTACTTATGAGATTTACCTATTGGGTGGCGTAGATATCATATCCAAGAGTTTGAACTCCTCCACAGTTTTAGGGTAACCTGTCAAAATCCATCCTCTCTTGAGACAGTCATCCTCGAGTACATATTGCTGGAAATAATGACGATGCCAGTGACCGTGACAAATTAATTTTATATTTCTCAGCAAGCTATTATCACACCTCGATTATTTGTACTCGCGCTTCTAACTTTACTTTCTCTTTACATTTGTGCTCGCATAATCGCAGCATTTCGCCTAAAGCCGTCTCTCGCAAGCATGCTTGTTCCAAAATATTATCAAAGTCAACTGCAAAAATATATAACGTATTTCTGTTCAAAATATTATCGTGAGAGACAAATCTGTCTACTAAAAATCATCACTGATAAAGAAAGAATAAAATATAATATTACAAAATACAATGCATCTTCCTAATAAAATGTTATATCTAACATCTCTGTAGAATAAATATATGTATTAACAAGTTACTAGAAACGCAAGGATATTATATATGCATGTATATATATATACAGGTTTTTCCCCGCTATCCAAAAGTAAAGCGTTCCTGTATATGAAACTTTTTATAAGCGAAATTATGTAAAGTGAATAAGCAGTTACTATTAATTTATTTGGGACTTCTTTTGTAAGAGCGAAAATCTTCTTTGAATTCCTTTCAATTAGCGAAAATTTATAAATGTAGGTTTTTTGTAAAAGCAGAGCAGTGTAAAGCAAACTTTAAAAAAACGGGGAATATCTGTACATACATATATACACACATTACCATAAACAAGATTAAATCTCTCAGATATATGTTTTGCCAAAGAACGACGACCTGATCCTTGAGGACCTATGAGAGCGATACGAAAAAGCGATGGAGCTCCATAATGTTTTCTTCTAACTTTTATTAATGTCGCGCAATCTTTGCCCAGTCCGTGAATTGTCTTAGTGCCAGCTTCAACTTCCTAAAGTGAAATTTTTTAATAATCTCATAACAAAATTAATGGCATTTAATATAGAATTGATTAATTACCACTTTCGGGTAGTTTATAAAATAACTGCAAAATAAAAGTTTATTTTGTTAAAATATTATGTATAATATTAACATATTATTAATATGTTAATAATATATTAATAAATGCTATATTAACTTAGTAATAAAATATTATAAATAAATATTACAAAGCCAAAGAACCACAACTAACAATTAAAAAATTAGCATAAGCTTCACGTAGACCTTGAAGAGTCTTCTTATAATCGTATTGTCTTGCATCTTCTAAAAATAAATAAGATTTATAATAGGATAAGTTAGAAGCAGTCAAAATTTTACATAAAAAATGTAAAGATTAATATTTAACATTTGCAATTCTTTCAACAATCGAAACAATTCTTTTAATTTGACTTTTGTTCGATATCTTTGTATGTTTTATATTTTATAAATATATTAATACAATTAATATGAAAAAAAATATTAATAATATCATTAATCTAAAGAATGTTATGATTTATGGTTACAGAGAGAACGAGTTTTGTAAAAATGGAGATAAATCTGAATGGATTTGAAAGAAATGGCAAGATTAATAATACTGTCTATCCAGTAAGTATATACTTTTTTCTTGAATCTCGTCTTCTGCACACGGTGGTACAATCTGTATCACGTGTGTTGGTATTATGCCGACACGTTGCATTGCACGTGCTTCCTTTTTACTCCTCGGTATATCTGTACAGCAGATTATGTATTTACGAGAAAAATAAAGAAAGAAATTTAGTCACATTTTTTAGTTACACTTTTCTTATAGTAGGATTTATAATAGTTGTTCCAATGAGACAGCGCAGCATTTCAAAATAATCCAAAATCAACCTTTATTTAACATAATGAATAATCAAAAAACGGAATAATCAATGTACGTAAATTACCGACTAATGCCCATCCAGATTCATGAAGTATTCCCGACATTAACATTCTCTTTAACCTTATCGCGATCTCATTAGCATCATAGCAACGACATGTGTTCTAAATATATTATAACAAACATTTGGTATAACATTAAAAAAGAGGAATCCTTGCAACTTCCTAAGGCATTGTAGGAGAAGTAGATAAATTGGTAACAGCATACTTCAGTAGAAAATAAAGTATAAAGGTCCTCTAGAGTGACAGGACAAATACCAGTTTCTTCCTGTAGAATTTTCGCGAGAGTTATTTTATCTATGCCGACAGAGAAAAAATTCCTTTTCATTAATTTTGAGAATAATATGTAGGTACACATATTAGAGATCTTCTTAAAATAAAGTGATTGGTTTATTACATTTTATAAATATGATTATTGCTAAATATACGAATGTAATGGAGGTAGTTCCTTATAAGAATATATCTTATAATATATGCAATTAATTATATTATTGTTGACCATGCTAACGGAATACCGAAGCTCGGAGGAGCTATAAGGATAACTCTGGGAATATCTCGCTTTCGTACAATATGTTGGACGCATTGTTTTGTAAATATTATTGGGTCTTCTGGCTGCTGGATCAGTAATTGCGTCACCAATTCCTATAAATTTTTTTATGATATAATGCAATGCATTAAATAATATAATGTAATATAATAATAATATAATATAATGTAAAATGCAACACACTTATATATGTAACACAATTAATCTCAATGAAATATTTGAGTGCAGTAAAATGACGTAATTCAATTACATAAAAGAATTCATATAATCTGTGTTTTTCTATGTAGGGCACGAAATCCGGCGGAATGGTCAATAATTGTCTTGTTCCTCCTTCAAAGTCGCTCATATTTCACGATTTTTATAATGGTTAATTAATAATATAGTGTTATTTAACGTATGTATCATAATGCGTTTGACACACACGTTTGACATATGGCACACGTTTGACATATTTAATTAAATTTAAGCAGTACGCAACTTTCAGTTGTATGTTTTCGAAAACTATTCGCTTGTTTTATCATGTCATACACAGCCTGCGTTTGTTTATTCCCATTAGGAGCTATTCGGAAAATAAAATATATAATACACATAACGTGTATTATAGATTTTATTTTCCCAATAACTCCCAATGTGAATAAACAAACGCAGGCAGAATGTTATTAATTCAGAGAGGAACTATGATTTTCGGAAAGAGATAATAAAAAATGCAAAAACAGTTTTAAATATAAAAACATAAAAAATTATTGCATTGTTTATTAGATTATAAATGCGAAATTATCTACTAATTAAAAGCCCTTTTTTTTTTTTAAACAAAATAGTGAAAATGCAAAATTATATTTTACAAAAATCAAATAACCAATCATCATCAATCATAGAAAAAAGTATTTCCAATACTGACATGTTTTGTAATATCTTGAAAAAAATATTTTTGCAGCAAATAGTGTTGTGTGAAAGTATACAGACAAAGCTTCAGTTTGAGCCACAATAACTGAATAAAATGTATCATTTTCGTATAATCCAGTTCACACACATTAGATATGTACAATTTAATTATATTATACATATACAATTATATACAATTGACAATTTTCGCGACAGTATATATCATTTTGTACATAATTCTTAGCGTTATATTATTACATTTTTGCACGAATAAATTTAAATTTCTTAAAATTATAAAGAAAATTAATTTTTGAGAAAGTCTATTTTATAATTGACAACAATTGGCTATCAGTGTCGTGACAATTCGAACATTGATTTTGGTCGGATTAATTGTCAAGACGTTTCGACCATGGGTTTTGGTCATTATAAATTGATGTAAATAATGTAATTTGAAGCTCATATATAAGCATCGTAATTTAAATAATTAAATTCATTGCAAAAAATATTACCCTGGCTGAGGTAATATTTTTTGCAATAAATTTAATTATTTAAATTACGATGCTCTTATATATAAGCTTCAAATTACATCAATTTATAATAACCAATGGTCAAAACATCTTGGCAATTAATCCGACCAAAACCAATGGTCGAATTGTCACGACACTGATAGCCAATCGTTGTCGATTATAAAATAGAGTATTGGCAAAATTTTTGTTCATTGTTGAATCACACCCTCCCGCTTTATTCCTACCTATACCCGTAAGCTTACTTATTCCTACCTAATTTTCTTACAATTATAATATTAATTAAAATATTAAGATATTTCCTTCTATTATCGAAAATCACCCAGCACATATCCCTACCTATCCGTACCCTTGCTTATTCGTTTTCCTTATATACCTCTCTATTCGATTTTTATCTAATTTTTACCCGTATTCCTACCTATTCATATCTCTATCTAGTATACTTTAATAGTTACCGCAATTACCCGAAATCAGAAAAAAGTAGGTACGTGAATTTTGTTTTAAATTGGGAACATTTAGAAGTTTTATTAGAAGTTTAATTTACGCGAGACCATTTAGAAGTTTTATTAGGAATTTAATTTACGCGGGATAAAGATTTTTAATTCGAGACGGCATCTTCCCGTCTTTGATTACGTGCAATCGCACGTATAAAATAAAATCTTATAAGCTTACATTTACCTATATTTTGTATATTTCGATTGGTGTTGTACACCAACCTACCTTGTAAGATCCTCTTCATCTTCTTTCTTCTGGCCAGCTTTTGTAGTATCTGGCCGTATTCTGGCTTCATATTATAGCCAGAAATACTTTTTTTGCTAGCGGCTAATCATCGCCAGCAATAAGCGTACGATTTTACGCTTTTATATGATGCACGAAACACGAACGCGTCACGAAGAGACCACATTAATTAAATCAATTAAGTACGAAATTAATAATTAATAATAACAATAGTAACTTCATTAACTTATGAATTAATTTCGTATTTTTTTTATGCGCGTTTATTCGTAGCAATTGAAATATACATTTAGTAATTAAAATACATATCGAATCAAAACAAATCTGAAATTAAAAAAAATCTCTATGTCGACAGCTAGCGTTTTGATCACGATTATTATATTGAACTTTTAATATAAAACTTTACAATATAAACAATAAAAATTTAATTCAAAAATAAACAAATAAAAATTGCTAGACGCGCCATTCAATATAACCTAAAGCCCATATGCGTATTTTCATCGATTCGAAC